GTGCTTGCTTTTTTTAGATGATTAAATTAATCACATCAATATGTTTGTTTATTGGACAAGGAATATAAAATACATAATCATTTCCTACAAAAATAAGATGTGTAATGTAGTTCTGGTGGGTAGCTGCATCAGCATGCATAGGCTGCAAAGAAACAGGTAATAGGTTTATTCCATGGTGAAAAGATGAAAGAAAACACAATGTTTTGTCCGTGGAGCCTTCTTCAGGTGTGTCAGGTAAGGTGTACAAAGTCCTATTACATTAAATTATTATAAAAATGTTAATGTGCTTAATTTTTTTTATCTAGAAATATTATAATTACTGAATCAATTTGGACTTCTAATGCATTATTCCACTGCACTGTACTACATTGTGAAACTATTTACTTTTTCATGGAAAATGATTATTACAGATCCAACTGAAACTCACGATAACAATGTATGCTAAGAAAATTTATGTTGTTTAACATAATTTAATACACTGCTTAGAAAGAAATTAAACCTACAGCTATACCTTTAACTTAAGATTGATCCACACCTAGAATTCCAAATTGCCCTTTAATAACCTAAATACTATAATGCAGCAAATACTCAATTGGCAACTCTTTCCTTACATGACACAGTAATATAATGGTGCCAGAATAACACCAAAATTATGTCTTCTCCATTTTTGTAATATTGAGTTTGAAATCCTTGCATATTGAAAATTCTAGTACAAACAATTGTGAAGAAACTACCATGATCATCTTCTGTTCAACAATTCCTCAAAATGTTTCATTTGATTGACCTCCATTCCATTATATCAATTATTTTTCTTATATTCCTCATGTAAATGTGTTTATTGTGTTTTTTCTTCACTGTTACTCTATTGGGAAACTCCTTCATCATGTTTATTATGGAGTTGAAATCCTTGCATGTTGTAAATTCTAGTACAGAAAGAAAACCTTTTAAAATGCAATATAATATAATAATTGACTTTTTAATTAAAGGACAGACACTACAACTGGGATAAACCTTCCTCATGAGTTCCTTGAATTCAACACTTCCTCAAAATGTTTCATTTGTTCGACCTCAGTTCTTCTATATCAATGGATTTTCTAATATTCCTTATGTAAAATACTATTATATTTTCTTGTGTATTGTTTTAACTGTAACGATATTAGGAAACTCTTTCATTATGTTTATTATTTACATAGAGCAAAGTCTTCACACCCCAAAGTATGTGGTTGTTTTTCATTTAGCTGTAGTTGACATGTGTGGCAGCACAGCTCTTATTCCTAAAATGATCGAGACTTTTCTTTTTGATTCCCAACTCATCTCATATGAAGGCTGCTTGGCTAATATGTTTTTTGTACATAGTTTTACATTCATGCAGTCACTAACTCTTCTTGCACTTGCATATGACAGATTTGTTGCTATCTGCTTTCCTCTGAAATATCATATCATCATTACTACTGCTGGAATGGGTAAAATATTAGCTGGAATATGGATTCTAGCATCTGGGGTAGTAATTGCAGCTGTTGGTTTCACTACCAGACTATCATTCTGCAAATCAATTGTGATAAACAGTTATTTCTGTGACCATGGACCTATTTATCGGATGTCTTGTAATGACAATTTTCCCAATTATGTAATTGCTCAGATTGGTATTACAATATTGCTAGCTGCACCTTTGACTTTAATACTGTCAACTTATGTGTGTATAATATTGGCATTACTAAAAATCGCCTCAGAGGAGGAACGCATAAAAGCAATGAAAACTTGCACCTCCCATTTAATCTTAGTGGCAATGTTTTACCTTCCGATATCTGCCATCTACATTGCAGCAAACATTACGTCTATCGACCCAAATACCAGAATAATAAGTACATCCTTATCTTCTACAATTTCACCAATGATGAATCCCATCATTTACACAATGAAAACAGAGGAGGTTATGAAAGCAGTGAGAAAGCTTTGCAAAAGAAACAAGATAATTAAGCCTAGGAGGAATCAATAAACAGATTTAAATGGGTTTGAAAATAGAAAATTATAGAAATTGGCATGCATGCAACATGTCATTATGTATTTACACATTTTATATACAGTATGTGACATTGTGTTATTTGGGTCAAATGGGATTCCCAAATTTAAGCATATTCCAAAATATTTCAGAGCAAACAAGCAATTTAAATATTGTGTTGGTCATGAAAGTTCAGGTGGGATGACAACACCCAAGTTCAATTAGACTCCGCTGTCAGTAATTCGCAATCACTTCCTCACTTGAAACAGAGGAGGTAATGAAAGCAGTGCAAAAGTTTCACAAAAGAAACAAGACAAACCTCGGTAGAATCAATAAACAGAATATGCAGAGTATGAATATAAGACGTTAGTGTGCAGCGTCATCAGGAATGTATAAGTCTTACTTTTTTGCTGACTTGTTTGATCCTAGCTGGTTAGACCTACCTTTTGTCCTGCCAATGCTATACATATTATGTTCTTCCCTCACCAATTTCCAACACCCTCTCTGTTTCATCACTATGTCTCTTCTGGCATTTTTGTTACACTTAGTGTACCTTTATGTGTACCTTCCCGAGCATAACATTTTTTTTATCTTTCTCAATTTTGCTGTCTTTATTGTCTCTATGCTTCTCTCTTCCAATTGCAATCTAACAACATGTCCAGTCTCCCTCACTTTGTGCTCAATCTCTCCTTGTCCTGCTATTATCTCTGCTCTCTAGAACTGCCACCCTAGCAGAGTGTAACTGTTTAAGCCTTCAACTTTCTCTCTTGCTGATTTTGTTACATTCACAGAAACCTTGAGCTTCTTCTCTTATTTCAGATCCTGAATTGTGTCAATATGCAATATCGACCATATTCCCATTCATTATAAGCACAAAACATTGTCATTAAACCCTTTAATTTTCCTTAATATTTTGACTACATTATTAATGTCTTTGTATGATTTTATGGAATTTACCTCTGTATTTGGTGATATTTTCTATCTTGTAAATTGTAAAAAAAATATATCCAATTTACAACCTTCAAGTTCCACGACTCTCTTGGTGCTAATACGGCTTATACTGTGAAGTGCGTTGTTTGGCATACGGTCACATATGTGCTATCTAATTGTTAAATTCTCTAGTACTTAGTATCAATAATAATAATAATAATAATAATAATAATAATAATAATAATAATCAATTCATAGTAATTATTTAAAATGTCATTATTAACAAGTCTTAGATTTACATTATTTTCTTTCAATTGATTGATCAATTGAAGAATAGATTAACTTCAACTTTATATCCAATTGTTACACAGAAGTTGTGGAGGGGGTAAAATTTTAATCTTACACTTCAGCTCTTCTACACATTCTATAAATATTCAACTACTAAACATTCCTTGTGCACATATTTTCTCACATTCAGTGTTTTGTACTTGTTAAAATTAGACTCTCTTGACATTGGTGCAAAACATTACATTTCAGTCTTTGGTTTTTCATGTGTCTCTTGCACAACCTCAGCTTGACTCCCAACTCACTATTTCCTTATACTCACTGGCCTTTCCAGCACATCAGCAAGTGGTATCTCATTACTTTCTGCAAAAGTGCAGATACATATATTAGAGATGTTGGGGTATCCCATGGTATGTTTTAAAATAATTTAATGCAGAACTGCACTACTCTGTAAAACTATCAGGCAGCATAGTGAATCATTAAAGTACAGCTGCTGTGTGTGGTTGTCTATATACAAAACTATATACAGTACATGTAGTGTTATATGCATACTATATGCATTTTATCATCCAAAAATGTAATTAAATACAAAACAAAAACTAACGATTGTATTTCATATGATTTTGTTATATTTTCAAGAAATATAGCTAAGAAAAAAATAAACAATGCTACCATTTCACTAACATCCAAGGCAGCACATTCTCAACTTTTCGATCTTTTCTGAGCAGATTACCATACCATAATACCATGTTAGCACACTCTCAATATTGCACCTGTAAAATGTAGTAAGGATAGTTGAAGAGAGATCAGATTTTTTAACTGTCTGAGGAAGTAAAGGCGCTGTTGTCCTCTCTGTGTACAGTAGCTTCATTTACATGCTTGAAACATGTTAAATCATTTGTAATGAAGGTACCCAGTAACTTGAAGCTACTAACCATTTCTACAGCCACCCTATTGATTTGAACAGGGATGTGGTCCCCACCCTGCTTTCTAAAATTGATAACCGGTCTTTTGTTTTGCTGACATTGAAGGAGAGATTATTGTCGAGGCACCACTCCACCAACTTCCTGACCTCATCCCTGTAGGCTGTCTCGTTATTACTGGTGATTCAGCTAATGATGGTAGTGTCATCAGCATATTTGTAGATGGAGTCGGAGCTGTGTCTGACCGCATGATTGTGGGTAAATGTGGAAAACAGCAGGGGGCTAAGCACACAGTCCTGAGGGGCACCTACTCTGTATTGATGGTCAGAATGGAAGAAAGCTTTCCATCGACCTTCACAGTCTGTGGTCTGCCAGTCAGGAAATCCAGAATCCAGCTGCATACTGTAAAGAAGTGGTGACTCCCAGGTCATTAAGGTTTATCTAAATTATTATCCAAATGAGCCAGGGCAGTTTGAAAAGCCAGGGAAATAGCATCGTCAATGGACCTCTTACTCCGGTATGTAGACTGCAGGGGGTTTAAGCACTCAGGTATCATTGTGTTAATGTGCCTCATGACCTGCCTTTCAAAGCATTTCATTACAGTAGATGCAGTGAATGATACCAGTCTGTAATCATTTAAACAGGTCGCAGTATTTTTCTTCAGCACTGGTATAAAGGTAGTTTCCTTAAAACACATAGAAATGGAAGATTGTAAAAGTGAAAGGAACGCCATCTGGGCCAGTCGCCTTCCGTACGTTCACCCGTCTGAAGGTTGCCCTGACTTCAGCCTCTGTGACAGACATGGCTGTATCATCAGCGGTTGGGAACACTGGCGCTTGTGGCTCCATGATTCCATTCTCATACCGAGCGTAACAGGCATTCAACTGATCTGGGGGAGAGAAATCAGTATCAGTGGATATAACTAATGCTTATTTTAGCTTTATGATTTGTTAATGTCTGAATACCCCACCACATTTGACACACATTGGAAGAGGCAGCTTGTATTTCTATTCTGTTATGATATTGCCTTTTAGCGTTCTCTGCAATTCATATCTTGCCTTCTTGTAAAAGGTCCATATTGCGGATGACCTTAGGATGCTCTTTTCAAGACAACACAGTGTCTTCGATTGAGTTAGAGCTGGATGGCCCTACTGCCACTTGTTTGCTGTATTACATTCCAACACCCACATCATACATGGATCTCATTCACTCTACACTATGGTGTCACGGAAGCCGGAGGCTTGCCATGGACAGACAGGCAGAACAGGTAGACCCTATGCTAAGCGGCAGGAACAGAGCAAACACAGGAGTTCACTCTAGGCTCAAGATATTAGACAGAGTCGGGGACGAGACATAAGCCCTCAGGTAGCGGATGTGGGGCGACCTGGTGAGGTGAGCCTCTCGATAACCGATCCCAATGCCAAGCGAGGAGGACAGGACAGACCGGAAATAGCAAACCTCCGCCGGACACACCGAAAGCACAAGCACAAGCACAAGCACAGGGAAGAATGGAACAGGACAGAAAGGTGTAGCGCCCTCTAGGGGTAGGAAGAGGGTCGTGTCAGTACCCCCCTTCAAGGATGGCTCCGGACGCACAAAGATAATAAGCTGCATAGCACTGGGGGCAGGAGAAACGTCATTTAATTGAAAGGAAACCTCCAGGATTCCACAGCTGAGAGCTAACCACCTCCTTCGGGGTAAACTTTATTAGTAGAGGAAGGGGGAGCTGGGCGGGGATCCTGAGGCCAGAGACAAAAACCAGGCAAAACGTAAAAAAAGGTACAACAGAAATAACCCGGAATCCAAGGCAACAAATGAAACATTAAAAAATAACCCACAGCATAAAAAACCCTGATGGAACAGGGGAACAAACAACACGAAAAAATTAATGCACAACCGATAAAACCTTGGAATCCATGGGGACAAATGAAACATAAAAAGACCAGGGAGAAAGGGAAACAGGCTAGGGCATGCAAGAAACCAGAAGCCAGGGAGGCCAGAACAGCTTGCGGGGTCCAGTGCAGCCTCGGCCATTCTGTCATGGAATCCGTGGAGAGACTGGCAGAACAGGAAGAGCCTATTCGAAGTGGCAGGAACAAGGTATCAGGCAGAGTCAGGGACACGACATAAGCCCTCAGGTAGTGGACGTGGGGTGACCTGGTGAGGCGAGCCTCTCGACAACCGCACCCAATGCTGATCGAGGAGGAAAGGACAGGCCAGGAATAAATGACAAACCTCCACCTGATGCACCGGAAGCATGGGCACAGGGAAGAAAGGAACAGGACAGAAAAGTGGAGTGCCCTCTAGGGATAGGAAGAGAGTCGTGACATATGGCAGACATTCTCAGATCACTGTTCCTCTAAAACCTAAAAACAGACTCGATCAACCAAAGATTACACACCTATAACCCCATTATTAAATAAGTCTACATCAATGTTTTCCTGTGTAGGGTTTTTACCAGACTTGACCATCCAAAATAAATGCTAAGAAACCACCAAACAAAAAAAAAAACTAAAAACTGCCAAAATGTACTGGCACCTAATTGGCTCTACTCAGGATATATAGTCAATCTGACCTGGCCATCTGTAAAACTGATATAATAAATAATAAAAGCTTCATTTAGAGGTGTTGGTGTGATCAGGAAGGTACGTTACATTCAGAATTGTGAGTTTAGAAAGATGTGAAAGGTACAAGTGTGTACATGTTTATAGTTGTTCTGGGCAAAGAAAATACTTTGCTACTTTACTTAGTCCTTATGAGTGAAACTGATGAGTCCCACGGTAATACTGTTGAACAGTGCATTCCCATGATGATTGCACTCTGCAGGATCTTATTTATAAAAGGCCTTAGGTTTTTGTCATTTTTACTTGTGTTCTCTTTTACTCTATCAGGTATTATATTAAAATATTTTAAAATTTCTTTATTTGGTAAGATAATGCAATTGCACAGCACACTATATAACACTCCACAGCTATATTTCAGTTGTATAGTTTTAGTTATATCTTACATTTCAAAAAACAATATTTGTTAATGACTTTAAATACTGACTTTATTCTACTTCCATGTGCTCTATTTCTAAAGTATAAGCAATGTAACAGTGGAGTCATTATAGTGTTGCACATGAAAAAGAAAATAAGTATGGTCAGAAGACAAGATAGAAACATTTTAAGGAATTCAAATTATGCCACAATTGTTGCTTTTGTTTTTCAAAGCTGCATTTTATCTCCCACTTCCTTTTCACATGAACAAGAAGTTTTTGGGTGAGTATAAAGTGCTTGCTTTCCTTACACGATTAAATTCTTAACATCGAAATATTTGTTTATTGACCAAGAAATTTAAAATACAAAGTCATTTCCTACAAAAATAAGATTTACAAAGTCCTATTACATTCAATAATTATAAAAATGTTAACGTGTTTTATTTTCTATGTAGAAATATTATAATTACAGAATCAATTTGGACTTCTTATGCATTATCCCACTGCACTGTACTACATTGTGAAACTATTTTCTTGTAAAACCATTGTTATTACAGTCCCAGCACTAAAACTTACAATATTATTATACTGTTTTCATTATTATTTTCTGAGAAGTGGGTAATGCACGAGATGGTGCTTGGCTTTATTTCTGTTAAGTATAAGACAATTCATTTAAGGAATTTTAATTTCCAAGGAAAGCAATTTGTTTTATATTCTATATAGTACTGCATTAAATTGATTGATAACATCTAAAATTCTACAGTATATGTATGCTAAGTAATGTATATTGTTTAAAATAATTTAATATCCTGCTTCGAAGGAAATTAAACCTACAGTTACACCTTTAACATAAGATTAATCCACACCTACAATTCCAAATGTCCTTTAATAACCTTAAGATAGTAATGCAACCAATTCTCAATTTTGTTATTAAGATCTCCAATCGTCAAGTCTTTCCTTACATGACAAAGTAAAATAAAACCAAAATGATGTATTGTCCATTTTTGTAATATTGAGTTTTAAATCCTTTTAATTACAGGACAGAAAAAAAAAACAATTGTAAAGAAACTAACATGATATCCTTCAATTCAACAGTTCCTCAAAATGTTTCATTTGATTCACCTCCGTTCCAGTATATCAATGATTTTTCTAATATTCCTCATGTGAAGCATTATTACATTCATGCTTATTGTTTACATGGAGCAAAAATAGCACCAAGATTTCATCTTTTTTGGCTGCATTCTGTACTACTGGAGTTGAAATTCTTGCATGTTGTAAATTGTAGTATAGAAAGAAAAACTTTTAAAATGCAATACAATAACAACTTTAATTTAATTTAATTTTTTGAATTTCAGGACAACTGGGAAAAAACAGCCTCATGAGTTCCCTGAATTCAACACTTCCTCCAAATGTTTCATTAGTTCGACCTCAGTTCTTTTATATCAATGGACTTTCTAATATTCCTTATGTGAAATACTATTACATTTTCTTGTGTTTTGTTTTCACTGTAACACTATTAGGAAACTCTTTCATTATGTTTATTATTTACATAGAACAAAGTCTTCACACCCCAAAGTATATGGCTGTTTTTCATTTAGCTGCAGTTGACACGTGTGGCAGCACAGCTCTTATTCCTAAAATGATCGAGGCTTTTTTGTTTGATTTTCCTTTAATCACATATGAAGCCTGCTTAGCCAATATGTTTTTTGTACATTTATTTCAATTTCTGCAGTCATTTACCGTTGTATTATTGGCATATGATAGATTTGTTGCTATTTGCTTTCCTCTGAAATATCATTTAATGCTTACTACTGCTGGAATGGGTAAAATGTTAGGTGGAATATGGATTCTAGCAGCTGGGGTATTAATTGTAGGTGTAGGTTTCATTACCAGATTATCATTCTGCAAATCTATTGTGATAAACAGTTATTTCTGTGATCATGGACCTGTGTATCGCATGTCCTGCAATGACAATTTTCCCAATTATGTAATTGCCCAGATCAGTATTACAGTATTGCTTGCTGCACCTTTGACTCTTATTCTCTTAACCTATGCGTGTATAATTTTGGCAGTGCTAAAAATCGCTTCTGTGGAGGAACGCATAAAAGCAATGAAAACCTGCACCTCCCATTTAATCTTGGTGGCAATGTTTTACCTTCCGATATCTGCCATCTACATTGCAGCAAACATTACTACTGTTGACCCAAATACCAGAATAATAAGTACATCCTTATCTTCCACCATTCCACCAATGATGAACCCCATCATCTACACAATTAAAACAGAGGAGGTAATGAAAGTAGTTAAGAAGGTTCACAAAAGAAACAAGACAATTAAACCTACATTAAGTAGAATCACTAAACAGAATTTGTAGAATTTGAATTTAAGACATTAGTGAAGTATCTTCAGGAATGTATAAGAATGATTAATATACAGTATACATTTTGAAGGAATTGAATATGAAACCATGTAATTGTTCATGAAATGCAATGAGAAATGAATGAAACTCATATTATTTTTATGTTTTGTAATGACATGTAGCTAGTTTCTTTGAACGTAGCTGCAAGTAGACATTTTTTTAACAGTTTTGTGCATTTCTTTATTTTGTTCTTTGTTTATTGTCATGCAGCACCCTCACTGTTTCTCTATTCTGCTTCTGGCTTCTTTGTTGCACTTTATTTATTCAGTTATATCTGCCTGTACTTTTCTCCTTGTACTGTTTAAGCTTTACACCTATTCTACAAACCTACACATTACTTATTTTGTTCTTCTTACTGTCTTCTCTCCTACTAGTCTCAATCCGTCATCACCCATCGAGACTCTCCTTTTGTGCTAATTCTTTTCTTATTCTGCTATTCTTTTTTCAATGGTCTGTGGTACTGTCACTCTACCAGTGTGACTCTACCAGACTATAGTTGATTTTGTTTTAAGTTTCATCTCTGCTATGTATATTTCATAGAAACCTATTTTTTTTTCAACTTCAAAAGTGTGTCATACTATACTGTGGACAATATTCCTATTTATTTTAAGCACAACATATTGTAATTAGATCTTTCAATTTTTCAAAATAAATGTAATACATTATGAATATTATTGTATGATTTTAAAGTATGTACTTCTGCAGTTGATTATTTTTTAATTTTGTACATTGTAAAATGGATAATTGCTGCCTTTAAGTTCTAGGAATCTCTTGGTGCTAACAAGCATTATACTGTGAATTGTACACTTTGGCACACCATTACATATAGATGCCATAGGGGTTTTGTGCATTTAGTGGGATAATTGTTAATTGTAGCAGTAAATCACAAAATGATTCTTCTAGAAAATCGACCTTGCGGAAGAACTCAGCAACACACGGACACGGATACTAATACACAAGGATACATTTATTTCTAAATAAAATGTGTATATTAACATAGATCTTATAGTGAACGTTAGCAGAATTCAAAAGGTATCTGTATAGGAATCTGTATTATTAGATTCCCTGTTAGAGTCATTCAACTGCTGAACACTACTTTGTGTGCAGTTTTTCTCATGTTCAGTGTTTTGTACTTGCTAAGGTCAGAGGTCTTTCTTGGTCATTGGTGTGAGACCTTACATTTCACTACTTTTCTGTGCCTCTTTCACACTCCCAGCTCAACTCCCACCTCATCATCTCCTCATGGTCACTGACCTTTCTATCACAGCTTGACTTGGTGATCTGACCATCATTTACCTCCTCCTCCACTTATTTGCTGTCCATGTAGAAAATCCCCCAGATTGCTGATGACCACTCTGTCCTCAGACTGCATATAGTATAAGTATGTATACAGTATAAATATACAGTATCATTTTGCACTGGGTTTGAGCTCCTCATTTTTAACCCTCACCAGTCACAGCCCCAGCTGACACGAGTACAGGTTTCTTACCTGCTTTTCCCCCTCCTATGGTGTCCAACAGGTGCAATGTTGGCCTTCCACTCTTCTTTCACATTACAAATTTCCACCCACAGTCTCTCAAGGGCATGGGACTCAGGACTTTGCCTTAGCTAATGGTTTTATTACTTTGGGGGGCTCTGCGTGTAAATTTTCCACTTCCATTCAGTCGTAGAAAACATCAGCAAGTGGTAAATCATTACTGGTTCCCAATATTGTTTTCTATCAAAATAAACTTTATTTCACAATACACATTTCACAATAATTACGTACTCTAACAAATTATCAAACTCACATCAAATAAGAACTTTCCTAATCAGGTGATTGTCCACCATCAATCAGTGCAAGTTGATGACGGGGTTGAATTTGAGTCCCTCCAAGCCCTGCCACTTGCCATGAGCTCAAAAAAGAAATTGTTTTCCTTGTTCGGTTGTGAGGTTGCAACTTCTTCACCTTTAACAGATAAACCCAAAAAACTTAAAAGTTCTCAGGATTTTCAAGAACATTAATTGTTCATAATGCCACTGGTGACTTAGGGATCTGTTGAAGATTTAGGTAATACTTGGCAGCCAACTAATAACTGCAGAGACAGTACCTGCTCTGTTTAGATGTTCAACATCTTTGTGCTTCTCTGCTTAAAATGTACATTTAAATTTAAGTTTGAAATTTTAAATACCCTCAAAAATCAGTGAATCAATTTTGAAAACTACTTAGAAAAAGTACTTGGAAATTAGGAGCAACAAAATAAAAAGACTAAAATAATTAAAGACTGTATTATTAGATTCCCTGTTAATTTTAAAATATGCTTAGCTTATGTGTAGTTCTATTCATTTAATCTACTCAGTATACATAATGCTGCTAGTGTCACCAGTAATGTACGTTATATAAAGAAATGTGTGAATACATATTGTTGCAAAATCAGCAGTATATTTATCTTTCTTAAGACTGTACATATTAATAACTGAGTTGTCCTGAAAAACATGCAAAAAAGAAAAAAGGCCCTTTTATTTTTTTTTTTTCCAACTCCTTCCTTTTATTTAATTGGGCCTTTTTTTTTTTTTTTTGGGGCCCGGTTGTTGCCCCGTTGGGGCTTTTTTTCCGTTTTTTCCCATGTTGATTGCAGTCTATAGCATCTTATGTATAAAAGCCCTTAGGTTATTTTCTATTTTACTCACACACATTGATGTCCTGTGAGTTATAGTACTTAAATACTTTAATGCATTTTATTTGCAAAGAATCCAAACGTAAAAATACATTATAGAGCACTTAAAAAAACTGTTTTTTTCTTAAACTGTATATTTATATTGTGTATTTTAAGTGCTTTATTGTTGTTTGATAATTCAGTAGTTCAGTCTTCTTTAGAACCAAACTTAGAGGTATTATGAAAATGTTAATACTATAATAGTGGATGTATAAAAGTGTTGAGCCTTAAAAAGAAACAAAATACTTAAACAGGAGATAAGATAGAACACAAAATTAGAAACACAAATTAAGCTTTTTATTCTTTTAAGGTTGCATTTCATCTCCATTTTCTTTTATACATGCGAGAAGGGTAGTTTTGGTGAGTATGGAACCAGCTTGTTTTCTTTTTGTGACATTATACTATTTATCACTGTACTGATAACTCTAATATTGTCTATATTTTTGTGTTCTGAAATTAAGTAGTATGTAATACATTGTAATGGTGCATTACAATGCAATTTAATGTATAACGTAATGTATGTTACATTACACCTTATTTGTTATAAGACTGGTATCATTATTATTCAATTCCAAGGCATGTTATTTGCTTTACTTTTTTTTAGAATTCACCCTGGCAAAAACTGATTTTAAAACTGCTACAATTCATTGGTATATAACAATGAGATGATACCATAGCATATGACAACCACATGCAAAGTACTGTATATTGTTTAAATTATGTTGATACAATACAAAGCAGGAAATCCAACCACCTGGTACACCTTTAACTTAATTTTAAACTACACCTGGAAAAATGCCTTTTAACAACTGCATAATCAAAATTATGTAGATCATAATCAACATTTTGCTTCAGGTTCTTGTTTGTCCATTTAGAAGTATCATTGATTGTATTAAAAAGTAGACAATAGTGACCAGCTGAATGTGGCAATTGAACATTGTAATTGAAATCCTTGTATTTTGAACTATAATGTCATAGATTTTTTAACATTTAAATTCAATACAATAATGACTTTTCTAATTACAGGAAAGAGAAAACAATTGTGAAGAAAGAAGTCAGCCATGAATTCAACTATTCCTTCAAATGTTTCATTTGTTCAGCCTCAGTTCTTTTACATTAATGGCTTTTCTAACATCCCTCATGTGAAGTACTATTACACTTTCTTATGCTTTGTCTTCACTGTAACGGTATTAGGTAACTCGTTCATTATGTTAATTATATATGTGGAGCAAAGCCTTCATACCCCAAAGTATGTGGCTGTTTTTCATTTAGCTGTAGTTGACATGTGTGGCAGCACAGCTCTCATTCCTAAGATGATTGAGACTTTTCTCTTTGATTCCCAATTCATCACGTATGAAGGCTGCTTGGCCAATATGTTTTTTGTACATTTGTTTACATTCATGCAGTCTTTAACTCTTCTTGCACTTGCCTATGACAGATTTGTTGCTATTTGTTTTCCTCTGAAATATCATATCATCATTACTACTGCTGGAATGGGTAAAATATTAGCTGGAATATGGATTCTAGCAGCTGGAGTAGTAATTGCAGCTGTTGGTTTCACTTCCAAACTATCATTCTGCAAATCAATTGTGATAGACAGCTATTTCTGTGATCATGGACCTATTTATCGGATGTCCTGCAATGACAATTTTCCTAACTATGTAATTGCCAAGATTGGTACTACAATATTGCTAGCTGCACCTTTGACTCTAATTCTGTCATCCTATGTATGTATAATAGTGGCATTACTGAAAATCGCTTCAGAGGAGGAACGCATAAAAGCAATGAAAACCTGCACCTCCCATTTGATTTTAGTGGCAATGTTTTACCTTCCGATATCTGCCATCTACATTGCAGCAAACATTACCACTATTCACCCAAATACCAGAATAATAAGTACATCCTTATCTTCCACCATTCCACCAATGATGAACCCCATCATTTACACAATTAAAACAGATGAGGTAATAAAAGCAGTGAAAAAGTTTCACGAAAGGAACAAGACAATCAAAAACCAGAATTTGTAGAGTTTTAATATATGACATTAGTGCGGTGTCTTCATTAATGTATAAGACTTATTGTTTTTAATGTTCCTGTCTTGTTTGACCTTAGCTGGTTTGAGCTACCGTACCTTTTGTTTTGATAATATTACACACTTTTTGATTATGTTCTTACCTCACCAATCTGTAACATTCTCACTGAAGTTGAACTTGAACTTTACTGCCATATGTAACTGGTACATGTAATGGTACAATGGAA